TTACCATTTTATTGCGACGAGAATTTCCCATACATCATGTTTTCGGGATTTTTTTTTCTTAAAAAACAAACAAACTGCTATACATTATAAGGATAGCATACAAATTTACTTTGCTACATGTATCAATGTGGTTGTAGAAAAAAAAAATCATAAATCTTTACTTGTATAAAACAGGGTAAGCGTTGGTGGTATTTGGCATGTTTTCTTTAGATGTGTTAGATAGATGTGAAAGCCCACTACCAGACATAATTATTGTTTTCTTTGTGTATGTTAATGAGTTATGCTTCTAATTATACTATGTTACAGGTTGTAGGATGTAATTACTGGGTATTGTAAGGTAATTGAGACTTTATTTATGTGCAATGCAGTGACATTGAGTGATGTTACCATTGTTCGATATTTGTGAGTATTAAGATTTGTATGTAATTATGGTATAATTGGGTTTGTACAATAAATTTACAAGCCACTATAATGTGTTTGAGATTTTTTGTGTGTAATGCATTGACTTTGAGTCAGTTTTCGTTTTGTGCCAGGCTGTTCATATCTTGGAAAAAGGTGCAAGAAATGTAAACACTGTTACCCGAGTTCGTGGGAGCTTGAAGAAATTTAAGGAATTTCAACATTTCTACGGAATTGTGAGTATCACCTGTACAATGTAACTGTGCAGTACAGTATTGTAAACATTCGATCGTTTTTAAAAACGTTATATCTTTTGGAGACAACTGAAAGCAAGCATTGGAAGTTTGGAACCATCAACGCGCGGCATGATTGCTAAAGAGTCAACAGGTGTCTCCTGAGCATCTATCTACCATTTCGTGTGGCGAAGGCTGGCTGCAGCGCCGGACTGACATCCTTTGATTTTTATGAAGGTAAGACAAATGAAAACAGTTTAACACGCGTTTTAACTTATCTAGCAATGCGAGAGAGGTGAAGGTGGTGCTGGCCAGCGGCCGCAGGGCACCAAGTCGAGGGAATCGAAAAAAATTAACCAGGGTAACCTGTTATTCAGTCCTATATTTTCTCGGCGTTCTCTAAAAAGATGTGTATTTCATGACACATATTTGATAGAAAAATCATATTGATTTATTTATATCAATAGCATGCCAACTAGTAATAAAGTAAAGTTATATTATAGTTTGGCAATTATGTTAGGAAGTATTAGATACCATTTTCTTTGGTTAACTAAGCTGTTAACTCAGCTATTACCAGAATGTGCAGCTATTTTAACTAGTTAATTCTCTGATGAATGAGTTGGGTAGGTAATTGTTCAAAACATGACTGCATGGAGAGATGTGACCTTTATACTTCACATGCTGGTAAAAGCTAACAAATGGCCCGAGTACATATTTAACAAGTTAAAAGTTTAATCTAGGTTATAAAGTTCATTAAAAAAGGGACTAGGGATTCTTCATGGTTTCACCAGGGTGCTATGGCATATTGTGGCATTATTGAACAGCAAGAGCAATATATTTGCAGCATTTGACCAGTGGAAATAGCATTACTTTATTCAAAATATTTTTTTCAAACCTGCTAGTTGTATCATGAGAGTTCTTTATGACCGTTAATTAAAGTTTTCTCAATCTCTGTACATTTGTACTTTAAATAATGTAAAAAAATGCGAATTTTAAAAACTTCCAAATAATATACCAAGAACATATTTCCAGGTGAATCAGTAGGCACTGCAGCACTTAGTGTGGACTGAGTTGATGGAGTAGAGGAAATCTGCCTACCGCGTTTAGTGGTCAGAGATAAGTATGATCTATTAATGATGTCAAAGGAGGGGTCCATGACGCTGTGTGCACCAGAAACCTGCTTTAGAAAATCAGCTGATTATTACGCACAGTATGGGATGGCCGAGGTAATATTGTTGTCAGGGGTTTTGTGTTTGCCCTGATTTGGTGGGTTTATGGAGACACAATTCTGGTTCAGCTGTTTATTGATAGGAGGGGTAGGTAGCGTGGCTCGGGCTGTCTCGTGCTGTGCAATTGTGGGCAAAGGGAGCCCAAGGGCGCGCCGAGTGGGGGGGCGCGGGGAGAGACCCCCAGGGAGGAGGTCTGGCCAGGGCCAAGATCCCTGGTCAAGTGTGTTGCCCTGGGTCAACTGGCGAAGCATTCGAAAACAGGGTCGGTAGGCTCTTCTCGCTGGGGGACGTGGCTAGGCACTCCTCATTCCTCAGATCGTCCGGCGTATGCTACTAACCGTCGCCTCCCGACGGTCTGGTGCTGGCGTTCTCTGAAACAAGTACACCGAGGCAGAGACAGGGCAAGAGACAGGAGGGCAAACAGTGGGGGGGGGGGGTTGTGTAATAGCAGGGGCCGTAAGATATAATCAAAATATATCAGATTGCAATGATTGTTATTACAAATATTTTGAATTTTCAATTTTTATTATATTTTTTTCAATAATTCACTGTCCAAGGATAGACAGAGGAACATGCTTAGGGAGACAATTGCAATAGTCCGCGAGGACTTGCTTGAGTTGCAATTGTCTCAGATAGCAGGAAATGAAAATCTACAAGAGATAAGCATTGTGCAAAACTACAAAGGAAGCAAAAGGTGTCGCAGTCCGCAAGGACTTGTCTTGAACGACGAACTTCCTTGGAAAAAAAAAAAAATGCAACAATGCAGAGTTCAGAAGTGTGCAGTGCAATAGTGCATACGGTATACGTCTGACTAATAGTAAATGTATCTCATTTCATTGAAGTTATCTATCACACGTCACCAACAGCAATTTGAGGCAAAGCAATAATGAAAACAGGTAATGCAGTCCTCATACTTCGGGAGCGACTCATTACATCAAAATATACTTTTTCAAGACAACATTTGCACGATAAAACTTAATGCAGGACAAGAATACACGATTGGCGCAAGTCGGTTATCTTCCGGAAACAGTACGCATGTAATTCTTCTGGAATTAACGGGTTTCTGCGGGGCGATGTGTGCATGTGGGTGCGTGAGTCGTGAGAAGACGAGTGTTAATGAATCGTGAGTTATGAAATGAGTAAGTCAGAGTATAGCACACAAGTAGAAAATAGAATGCTGATAAATATATTTTAGTTTTTAGAGTCATTAGTAATTTGTTAAAGTAAAAGTGAGAGTAAAAAAGGAATAGGATGGCGTGGAAGTTGGAAGAAATAAGCGAAGGGGAGGAGGAGTGGGTGGGCGGGAGGTAAGGTAAAAGAGGTATGGGTGAGGATGGGGGGAGGGGTCAGGTATGTAGACAGGGGCAGGGATGTGGGCTGCATGCAATGAAATTAATTACCGATCTGACTGTATGTAAAAAAAAAACAAAAAACATTCACACTGATAACAATGAATTTACGGTTTGCAATATTAATCAACTACTTTGTGAAATACAAAATTGTACTTTAATTAGTACGTAAAATGAATGAAACGGTGACTGGTTTGGATCAGCTTCCCTGAGACAACTGACAGCTGAATGACAACCTTCGTTAAAATAAATTCCCTGAGGAAAGTGATGACCCAACATGATGATGATGAAACATCATGTGATGATGACCCAACATCATCATGAAACATCATCATGAAACAACATCATCATGAAACATCATCATGACCCAACATCATGAAACATGATGACCCAACCCTAGAAGGGACACATCATCCAACTCATACGCAGAACGCAATTGGGTACCCATCTTCTTGGGGAATACCAGCGATAATCTCATGTATTGCGGTAAGAAGTATGGCTTGGCACATACAAGACAACTTAACATTAATTACCTTAACCTAATTACATGTCCATATCCAGCTGGGGGTCATCACCAAGGACCATGTAATAATGATGAGGTGAGGTTTGTGATTAAGCGAAAATCACGAACAATATGAAATCGCAGTAGCTATATAATATAATTAATCTATAACACGGAGATAGCTAAATTAAAAATAAATACAAATAGCTTGAATGTATTTTTGGGTCGAGCAGAGTCAGATGGCTATAAGTACCTAACTGAGTAAGGTCAAATGAGGTCGTTATCCGAACATTCGCTAAAAATAGCAATAGCTAGTATATATAAAATTAAATATTGTGAAAAAAATAAGTACACAATAATCTAGAAATTACCAATAAATGAAACGAAGGATTTACCATATTTGAATGATTAATGAAAAAATATATCTATAAAGAAGACGAATAATTACAGCGAAATATACTTCGGAATATGCACAAATATACTATAATAATAACTTGAAATCATATGATCTAATTCAATGAATTATGCTGATATTATTACAGTTCCCAATATATTCATGCAAACCGGAAGTAAATTCATCACTATCGTAAATACATCGATAACGAGATAATGATATAATCACAATATTATACACGTATAAATAAGCTTAAATGTAAAAAGAAAAAAATCGAGGCTAATACAGGTCATTATAAAAGTTGATGGGACCTGACCTGATTTCACGTGAACAACCATGTGTGGTCATTCGCACTATAAAACGAATACAACACTTTATACATAAAAATAATGAAGTTGATATTCATATAAACATACAAATGAGCAAGGCACACTTTTCTTGTATAAATACAGATATGAAAAGAAAAAAAATATAAAACGTCCGAAGCTTAATATCGGATAATAAACTTAAGAATCACAAGGACATAAAAGATCAGGAAGACATATAGTCATTAAGACTAGGGCAGTCGAGATGTATATCACATTTACCAAATTTAACGTATTATAATATTTTATTTTAAATAAATATCACGACTAAAAAAAATTAAACGCTAGTGGACTAAACAAAAATATTGAAAATAGGTAGAGAGGGAGGGGAGATTAACGGGTGGGGGTTAGGAGGAAGGGAGGGGGTTTAGGTAATGGGGGATGGGGGTAAGTGAGAAGCATGGGGGTGTTATGTTTGTTTGTGCATAATTCAACTAAATTATTTAAATATTCAAAAATCTCACAAATGCATTGGTAAACCGAGCCGAAATAAATGCACTTAGTAATAATATACGAATTGAACGTCGACATGGCGTCGGTTAACACAGTGAGAGATAATGAGAATGAAAAGAAATGTCAAGAATATCAATGCTTAGGACTAGACACGTGACCTAGAATGTCCGTAGAAATAGATAATAATTTAGAGAAAATGCACGATCTATTTCTCCCACACGAGTTAAGCATTATAAGCGATTTATGCTAAATAAGCTAGCACGATCGAGTTGGATTTTAGGCCAAAGAAAGAAAATGCACTCTCGCAAGTGATAAAAATGGGAATTGATTCCCTTAAAAAAAAACGACGATCTACCATGACGAGAAAAAAACATGGTAGATAACAGAAAGAAGGAAAGAAAATGCACTTTGTACGGACACTTGTTCAGATATTTGGTTGGAAAAATCACTGCACTCGTAAAAAGTAGTACGGCATGCACACATAGGCGAAGAAAGGGGAAAGAAAAGAAAATAATTGCCTATGGTGTACTTACAGTTTTTCGGAGGCTTGTTGTTTGTGTCATTCCGCCGCTTGCCACCAGTTGTCAGGGGTTTTGTGTTTGCCCTGATTTGGTGGGTTTATGGAGACACAATTCTGGTTCAGCTGTTTATTGATAGGAGGGGTAGGTAGCGTGGCTCGGGCTGTGCAATTGTGGGCAAAGGGAGCCCAAGGGCGCGCCGAGTGGGGGGCGCGCGTGGGAGAGACCCCCAGGGAGGAGGTCTGGCCAGGGCCAAGATCCCTGGTCAGTGTGTTGCCCTAAGTCAACTGGCGAAGCATTCGAGAACAGGGTCGGTAGGCTCTTCTCGCTGTGGGACGTGGCTAGGCACTCCTCATTCCTCAGAATTGTACATCTAGTCATTTGAAAATTATGCTCTTTATACTAAGAAAATTGACTGATCAATTTAAGAAGAATTAAAATTCATATGAAATTCACATATATACATTATAAGTATGGTGCTTATATATATATATATATATATATATATATATTATATATAATATATTATATATATTATATATTAATATATATGACCTCTGTAACATAGTAACAGGGTCCTTCCAGCTAGATGAATAAAATTGGTTAGATATGTCTGTGGGATCAGTCTGCAAATACCTATCACATGTTTCAGGAGTCAGCAACCTTGGGACTACAATATTTTCAAACTCCAGTTAATGGCACTCTTCATAGATGACGAGGAGATAGCGATAAATGAGAACATTGAAGTAAGTTTGATGTCCTTAGCATTTATGTAAGGTGGGAGAAGGAATGTGAAATGTTATTTCTTGGTCATGAATGGTGATTATGGGAACGATTTCGAGAGAGTGTAAAAGATATATTCTGAGTGTTGCTGGTTGAATTGACAGGTAGATTTTATGACTTATCTCAGATTTCTATTTCACCAGATGACCAAGTCTCCCACTCGGATGCTGCTGACAAATAACACCTTCCAAGATGTCATGACCAAAAGAGAAATAGCACACTGCTCTTCTTTCAG